GACTTCTTATGAGGATGTCACATAAAATATGCAACCCTAAACCTTAGAGATTGCTAGCATCCAGGAAGGCCCGAAATCCCTCAAGCCCCGAATAGTGCCGGTGGTATACCTCCGAAGCACAGTCCCCATAAAACAAAAAACACTGTAGAACATGCCCTATGTGATATGTAGAGGTCTGAAGACTTAAGAATGTGAACAAACGCGTTTGGCAACTGCTGTTACCGAAGAACAATTCGCAGAACCCCTAATAGCTATTCTGCAATGACCCTGCAAACAGCCGGACCACCGGAGCAAAAAGTAGGGGCCATATATTGACTCAGACACCTGGGGGGTCTCTATACAAAGGATCTGAACACATGCATCACATCAGCAATTCAAGGGCTTTGTGCTAAACCTTAAGAGTTGAAATCTAAATCTCTGGCTGGCTTTGTAGGTGGCAGTTGTACGATAAAAGCAAGTCGTCGGCAAGATCTGGGACTGTAGCCCTAAACCCTAAACCCCTAAACCCCCAAATCCCTAAACCCCAAGACCCAACTCAGCAGGTCTATTTCTCGGGGCCCTTTGCCCTCCTCGCCTGCTGGACATCTGACTTGTCCGGCAGAGCATCATGAAGCTCCTCTCGTTGAGGATTCGAGTCTGAATTTAAGGTTTAGGGTTTAGGGCTTTAGGGTTTTAGGGTTTAGGGCTCTAGGGTTTTAGGGTTTAGGGTTTGAGGTTTTAGGGTTTGGGGTTTAGGGCTGTAGGGTTTTAGGGTTTAGGGCTTTAGGGTATTTTAGGGTTTTGGGTTTAGGGGTTTGAAGCCAAAACGCGAAACCCAGACATTTTGGGCTTCAGGTCACTGAGTTTTTGGGCGTCAGAAGTCCAGCCAAAGCCTCAACCCTAAACGCATGTGGGCTTGAGCGCTTAAGGACTGTATGGACCAGTGTTTGAGAGCAGCTATAAGTTATAAGGAGATGATAAGGAAAACTAATAGAGCCATTGTATAGGATTCAGGGGCGATGGGAAGACAGACTTAGAGCCGCGAATCCAAAACAACCGCGCTCCGTGAAGATGCTGTTGAAGGTGTACAGCGGCGAGGTGCCGATGTCGCCAAAGACAACGCCTGCCAAACAACTCCAGACAAGCCAGGAACATGCGACATAGATAAGTTGGTGCAAGTTCTAGCAGCTGGAGCTACTACAAGTATCCTAAGACCCGAAACCCTGAACCGTAACCCTAGCTTCAAGGGCTGTTTGTCCTTTTACAGGTGGGGGGGGGCATACCGCCAGATCATTCTAAAACAACACAAGAGTTGAGACACAAGACGGCTGCCTCAGGCACATGTGGACATACTGGGACTGTTGGACCGAAGCAGGAAGTCCCTCACTACTAGGAACTCCAATACAAAATCTCCGGGCCCTAAACCCCAAACCGCTAAACCCGAAACCACTAAACCCTAAAACCGCACGAAGCAGGTTGCTTGCCAGAGGCGGAAGTCCCCCACTGGGCTCAAAACCCGCAGCCCGAAGCTCTCAAGCAGTGCCAACCTCAGAAAAGATAGGGTTTTGGGGCCCATTATACTATAATTATAATAAGAAACCACTAAAATACTATAGGGATTCGCAGAACCCTAAGCCCCTAAAGGCGAGGCTTTCCTAGCGAGAATCCCTCTTCGAGCCTGTGGCGCCGATGACCAAGGGAATGAAGCCCTGAGGGAAGCTCAAACTCTCAAGTCGTACCTATAGTCTCCATTGTAGTTCTTTTTTGGGGTTACCTTATAGGTTGCCTTATATAATCCAATATATATATATATATATATATATATTTGGCTAAACCAAAACAAGGAACTACAATGGAGACTATAGGTAGGATTTGCGGCGGTCTGCTCCTCACATGGGTAGTTCTCTGAATTAGGGTCCGTTTTAGGGTCCTTGTTGAAACGGTGCCGTACTATATTGGGGGCTTAGACAGGGAACCTAATTTAGAGAACTACCCACATGACTTACTAAGCCCCTGATCCCGAAACTCGAAAGAAGCGCATGGGGTTTAGGGTTGAGGGATTTTAGGGGTTTGGGGTTCAGGGTTTAAGCAGTCAGGGAGCTGTGTGTCCAGCACCAGCTTTGCGATCTCCGATAGGTCGTCGGGAGATGATGTCTTCGACGATGTCCTCGAGATGCAGAGCACTAAACCTCAACAACCTTACACTGGCAGGCCTATGGCCTATGGAGGGTGCTCAGATTTCAGGTACACACGACTCCATTGCTCGAAAGAAGCTGCAGCAACAATTTTGCTTGTTTGGCCCAATGCTTTTGGATGAAGTTTTCAGCTAGGACTCAGAGTTCAGTTAGGCGTGATGGATATTGAGGAATCAGGTGCAATGTTGACCCTGCTGCACAAAGCTCGCTTTCCTCAAAGGCTTTGTATAGTAACCCTAGTCTAAGGATCCCTGCTGTATATTATTTCTTATTCAACAAGGCTTTAGCATCAGGAACCTATAATTATAAACATCCTTTGTTTAAAACGCGTTTAGTATTAGGATCCCATTATCATTCCCATTCCGGGACGGGGGGGGGGCCTTTACGAACTATCCAAAGGCTCTTATCTGCGATATTCGTGCTTGGACCCTCCGTCGTCGACGGAGTCTGTAGTTTCGGGGCAACATCTATTCTAAATTGGTACTTGTCCCTTCGGGGACGAAGGATCACCTGTGTTCCTACACTGCTATTTGGAAGATCACTGCCGGGAGGGGATCGAAAGTCGAGCTATGATGATGACAACGCCGCTATCAAGCAAAACTGACGACATACCGACGTGCAATCCCTAGGAGTCAATTTGGCACTACTTGGGGTGCAGTGGGACTTGAACTTGAACCTGTGAGGAGCCTTACACGTGAGGGAAAAGAAGATGCTGGACTCCCACATAAGCTGTTTAGGGCTTACCCATGGGCCCCAAAGTGGTTCCTTGTTGGGACTGCCTTATAGGATTCTAAATATGAACCCCAAAAAGGAACTACTATGGGGCCTATGGGTAGGGCTGAGGCTTGAAGAAGCTCCAACCGACCCCTGAAAACGCTATGAGCGGCTTGCTGCGGGTATCCCCGAACCCCAAACCCTAAACCAAAAGCCCCAAGGTCGACGGTAATGTAGGGGCCTTAATAATTAGAATCGGGCTTTTTTTTTGGGGGGGGAGGGATATTATACTATAATTATAGGGGGATATTATACTATAATTATGATAAGGAGCCCCCAAAATAGTATAGGTAATTATTCCAGGCCCCGATATTACACAAACTTAGCAACCTGCAACAAGGGGCGAAGAAAGAGCAAGCGGCGCTGGGGGCATTTAGAATAAACAGAGGAACATGGAGGTTAGAAGTCACCGCACTACCTTTCAGAATTAAATACGTAGGGTTGGGGTTTAGAGTTAAAGGTTTTCTTGTGCAAAGTTTCACCTTGCTGGGGCTTATACGGGGGTTTAGGGTACCCTAAATAATAGGATCCTTATTATAAGGGCCCAAAAATAGTACCCTAATTTTCGGAAACCCCCATACGTTTCGGGCTTCTGGGTTTTGGGCTTCAGTGGCCTGCTGCGATCTCTCGGAGCCGGAGCGCATCATGACCGTCAATCGGGTGGATCTGTAAATCTACTCCTATGTCCTTGGACTCAAAACCTCAAGCATGTTTTGAAGCAGTCCAAAACTCAGTAGTTTCGGTAGCTATAGTAAGTTGTTGGGCTTCCGGGTACATGTTCTCATGCCCTAAACCCTAAACCTAAGACATGTCTCTTCCAGACTTGTATCTCGAGCCCATGCTCCCCGGCCCTCCCGCTGCCGCTTCAAGTTCCGACGCTGTTTAAGCTGAAGCGGCTGCAAAGACTGAGGTTTAGGGTCAAAGGCTTCAGGGCTGATAGGGTTTAGGGTCAATCGAGTCAGGATTTCGCATCATCTGCCATAAACGACACCAGCCCGAAACCTAAACGGTCGCCGCTTTAACCGGGGCTTCGGGTTTAGGGTTTCAGGTCCCTTTCCGGACGCCCGGCCCGAGCCTAAACCCTAAACCCTAGGCCCTAAACGGGCCTAGTCGATCAGATCAAGTTTTGAGGCTACGACTCTTCACCCTGACGGAAGCCTTTGGGTCCTAGTGGGGCTTAGGTTTTTGGTTAAGTTGAAGTCCAAACACATTTGTACTTGTCATGTGTGTGCGTATGTGCGTGTCGTTATAGATAAACAAACCTGTGCATGTGAATATATATATATATGTATATCTATAAACATCCATCCATCCGTCCGTCCGTCCATCCATCCATCCATCCATCCATCCATCCATCCATCCATCCATCTCAGCGTCCGTGCATCCATCCATCCATCCATCCATCCATCCATCCATCCATCCATCCATCCATCCATCCATGCATGCATGCATGCATGCATGCATGCATGCATATATATATGTATATATATATATATATATGGTAATATATATATATATATATGTATATGTATATACATGTATGCGCATGTAGGTATGCATGCATGCATGCATGCATGCATGCATGCATGCATGCACGCACGCACGCACGCACGCATGTATGTACATTTATGTGTATATATATATATACACACACGTCGAGTTTGACGCATGTTGAATGCAAGCCCCCTCCAGTCAATAACCGCAAGATCTGAACTCACCACACTCATTACTTTGCTAAAACACGAAGATCGAGCTTGAACGGCTTATAGGTTGATCCTTCTCTCCTCCGCCTGTGTTATAGCAAACTCTGTGGGGACTTAGACGAAGGAGGTAGTGTCTAAAAGCGGCGACCTCAGAGCCAGCCGCGAACCAACACCACGGAAATCCTAAGCAACGGCAGCAAGTCTGCCCCAAAATACCGGGAGCTCACCGGACCGGCACCCTGCTCTACAGCCACCCACCCACCCGACAGCGTGGAATCACAGACGTATATCCGTCTATGCGCATGTTTTTGTTCTGCCTAAGCCCTGAACCATAGCTCCGGTGCTTTGTTCAGCGAATCCGCTTCCAGGAGTTCAGATCGCTGTCGAAGAATGTGCATTCGGCGCGCTCCTGAGGGACTCCACAGACACATAGACCCTAAAGAGCCTACCCTTTTGGAGATCCTTATTCTTCCGTGGTCTAGGTTCTTGGGTGACCCCTAAATAATGAGGAAACCCTTTTTCTCGCTATTCAGGTTTAAAGGGGGAGAAATACAAAAACAGGGCAAAAGGGGTAGTACTCAAAAACCAGGTTATTATGATTTCCTTGGAGGTAGGTTGCTCAGGGCACAAATCGGGGTTCTAGTGCTGTGCAGTTGAGGATCGCGGCCGGGGTTGAGTGCGGTTTATCCAGTTCAGCCTAGGGTTTAGGATTTAAAGTCTAGGGTTAGGATTTAGGGTTTCCAGTTCAGTTTAGGGTTTAGAGTTTAGGGTTTCCAGTTCAGTTCAGGTTTAGGGCTTAGGGCTATCAATTTGTGCGACAGGCTGACAGCTGTGTCTGATACATAGCCGCTGTCTGTGAAGCTCGTCGGTCGGTCTACATTCCCAGCCACCATAAGTCTGTTCCTTTCCTTGCGAAATTGATTTTCAAGTGGCTGACCCAGCATGCGCAGTGAAAGCCTGTCGATCTTGAAGCACACAGTATGTGTGTATATATATATATACAGATACATGCACATACACACACATACATACATACATACATACATACATACATACATACATACATACATACATACATGTATACATACATGTATACATGTATACATGCATACATACATACATACATACATACATACATACATACATACAGACATACAGACATACAGACATACAGACATACATACATACATACATACATACATACATACATGCATGAATACATGCATGCATGCTTGCATACATGCATAGATACATACATGCATGCATGTATATGTGTGTGCAATTTGGTTTGTACGTGTGTGTGTGTTGATATGTTATATATATATATACACGCAAATATAAACATATCTACCAAGCCAGCTATGCATACGAGGTATCGTTTCAGGTAGCGGGTCGTTATAGCTCTAAGTACAAAACAAGACGAATTCACAAGTCATGCAGTACATCTGCTTCGCAAATTTGCTCAGGCGGCCAACCCGCATTGTTGTAGTTATTAGTGAGCACAGCAAAAGGAACTTCTGCATTGCGTTACGCACGCCAAAATCATAAACAATTTTCGATTATGGTCCACAGGACGGTAAGAGCAGCAGGCAGCGAAGCCCTTTCAACTCAGCCAGCACAGAGCTTCAAGATTTCAAGGGCTTTAGCTTGACCACGAGTTCGACAACTTTCGAAGGCGAAGCCCTACGCTGAGAACCCATGTGCACAACTTTGCCAGTGCCCGTAACCCTAAACCGTCTTAAGTATGTAGGGAAATCAAGACGGGTCTTCACATCAATAATCTACATAATTACCATCCGTGGGCCACTCGTCCACCAAGCCCTGAAACCTAAACTCCGAAACTCAACCCCGGAAGTACACATGTTGAAACAAATCAGAGCCCAATGCCCTTTGAAATCCTCAAGCCCAGTGCCAAACACCTGCAAAGCCCTAAAAGCCCCAACATCCTAACAACAGCCCTGAAACCCTAAAGCCCACTAAATCAGACGTCCCACAAACCTGGGAAGCCGTAGAACCCTTCATCCTAAAAGCCTAAGCCCTAAAAAAACCCTAAATCCTAAACTTTCAATATTCCTAAACCCCTAAATCGTAACACTTACACCCTAAACGCCTATACACTAAACTCCTACAAACCCCAAAGCCCGAGAGCCAGAATGAATCTGAGGTCCTCCCCAGTACCGGCGAGGAGGCGGAGCTCCCGAAACTCCTGGTAAGCAAGGTGCCGGTCCCTTTACGGGTTTAGGTGTTTCGGGGTTTAGGGATGCAGTGGTTTAGGGTTTAGGGTTTATGGGTTCAGGGGCTCAGGGCGTAGGGGTTTAAGTGCTTCGTGTTGGGCTCAGGGTTTCGGGATTCAGGGTTTGGCCTTTACGGTTCGGGAGTCTTGGCTTCAGGGTTCACGGTTCACTGGGGATTAGGGTTCTGAGATGCCTGCGTCACGTGAGGGGTTTTCGAAGTAAGTATTCGGGTCACACTCTCGGCCCGGAGAACCATATCCCGGTCCTCCAAGTTACGTCACGAACTTCATATCTATAGCCTGAAACCGTCTGTAAACAGCACTTACTTTAAGCTACGAACTGAGGCTAGTGCTAGGATATAGGATGCACATATCCACACATGCATTATTCTGGCAATCAGCATATGGTTCAAGAGACAATGGGCTCCTCGACGCAGCGATACAGGTGCCTCTTGCCATTGCCATTAAAGTGCATCACCTTCAGACGGTTTGTGTTTTTGCACGGGCTTAACAGATTGGGGATCCCTAAAACCTAAACCTAAACCCTGCACCGTAAACCCCAAAACCCTAAACCCCAAAGGACCTAGAGGCTTAGGGATCTACAGTTTGGGGGTTCCGGGAGAGGCTCGGGGATTTAGCGCCTCAGCGTTTGGGTTTGAGCGGGTGCCGGGTATTGTGGCTCAGAGTGTCAGTTTTTTTTTTGGCTTTTGTGTTAAAACCGTAGCCAGGTCGGGGTTTAGGGTTTAAGGTGAGGGTGCGAGGTGATGTTGTAGTCGGTTGAAGGGATAAGCGGCCAGTTGAAGCCCATGTCCTTCCACTCATACAAGGGTTTCTTACATGAAAGGTCTTGGTAAGGCAGAGGCTGGGGCTTCCTGCTTTGTGGAAGCTCCCATAAATATTACTGTAGTGAGCGGGGGGGCTT